TTCTTCTTAAGGCCTGTATTTGCTGAAGTGATTCCTATCGAACAGTACTAACCCTATCGAATGCCTACGTATCAATTGCCAAGTAGGTTCCCCTTAGAGCAGTGCAATTATGTGGTACAGCATCTGAGAGATATGGGCTACTTACTATAATTATATGAGATGTCTCGAAATCCTATTTTGTGTACTCATTAGTATCTACAGAATAGCCAGTAAATGGTAGTTGATTCACCATAAATAAGTAATTGGTATGTTGATAAATAGTACCGCCACAGGTTCGAATTCCTCTTCGTCCAAACTTGAACCAGGTGAAAGTGGCGTTGAATAAATCTGGAATCATAAACCCAGAAGAGTATCTAAATGCCAATGCCTTAGCCAAAGAGTATGCAAACCTGTCCAACCACTTGAAGGGCCATGTTCGCTAAATCATTTGCGCATACTGACATTTCTAAAGCAATATAAAATGGCTGGATTTATTTGCTTACTTAATATAAACCTCCATCCATCGAACCCATGCTCCAGCAGCAATGTCATATTCTTCAAGTAAGCTATATCCTCCCGAAACCGTAAAGATCCTATCATTTACATTTATTGAGAAAGCTCTGTCATGGTTTGCATTTAATTGAGGTAGGCTCGTCCAAGCAGGTTGCCTTGGATCGTACATCTCTGCGGAGACTCTGCTTTCGGCTAAAAAATGAAAGCAAATCAAGTCATTATTACTCGAATATTTTTTCAATTTATTTATTTTTGTAAGACGTTAGTATACATTTAAAATATTGAAAAAGGCATATAGGAAGGGCTTGCGCAATATAGACGGCCATACTCCCCGAAACATATTCAATCTGCGTTACGGGCTACCATTGGGATATATTTCCCCTCAAACTGTATGAATGAGAGTGTTGATGTCCTAGAGCAAACCTTTCAATATACATATAACCAAAATTTTGTTACACTTTTCAACACGAAGTAAAGAAATCGTTTGAAAATTATACACAAACACACCTTTCGAGTTCATAAAAGAACTATGATCAACAATTTCAACTCTTCGCTATAGAAACTGTCGTGTAACAATTTTTTTCATTTATAAGTAGGTTTTCGAGGCTAACAATAGATCTTGTATATGAAATGTATTCATCCAATTTCGTTTAAGGTGAAAATGGTACTGGTAGTTGAATTTTTCAATAATTATATGAGAAGTGGAAAAACTACGTAAGGATGATAATACCTTTTGGGAAGCAAGGCTATATGAAATTCATTGGAAGTGGATGATTCAACTAGCAGTCGCTTTATCACCTCAAACGAAATAGGGAGAATACATCTCATATATATGTCCCTCTTGTACAGACTAGATATTAAGAAAAGCTGCACAGCCAAGCGTTATTAATATCAAAACAACCGAATTCCAAAATAGAGGAAAAGAGCTTAGGAACTCAAGCAAATTAGATCTCTGGTCAGAGAAAGAGAGAGAGAGAGAGAGAAAGCAAGACGAGAGCACAAGTAAAATGAGACATTATCACGCTAGATTCTAGGTATTGGCACAGCTATCGCTTGTGCAGTGCATACGGACATTGCACAGCGCATAACGCACAACGAGCAGAACACTCACACACACACACTTTAAGTAACCTAAGCTGACTAAGTGATTATTCAAGGACTACTGATGGGTGGGAAAGCTACTCATAACGAAATTCGTAAAGCATGCTATCTCGTTATTACGATGTTTGTCATGGCAGGACAGACAAAATCTCATCTCTCATTCAACTAAGCCGTAGGACAG